GAGCCTAAAGCTTTGTTACTATGTGAAAAAACTGAGGAATAAAACTGTATGAAAAACTAAGAGAAACTGAATGTATATTGAAAAACTGCTCATAAAGTATTATATAAGCACTTTAGGTTTATATACAATTAACTAGTGGGTAAATTAGGAAGCTAAATCTTCCTAAAAACTGAGCCTATAATTGAGGGATTGTCTATCATAATTTTTTGTCCTTAATTCTAGGGATACAAATACTTAATTTTAGGGATACAAATATAAATATACAGATTATAAGATTACAATCAGCTGTAAATAAGTGTTTTCCCACAATTTTGATAGACTTACCAAATTGATTCTCTATTTTTGCATGAAAGGTAGTGAAGACAAAGAATAATTGAAAGCGGCTCCGTAGCAAATACAACCAACAAACTTGTGAAGAATGATTAACAAATGTCTCAAAGCATCTATATCTAGATTCCGAAATAATAGGACAAGGCCCCCATACATTAGAATGAATCACAGCAAAAAGAAACTTTTCTCTTTTATTAAATTGAGGTCGATAGGACACTCTGTGTAGTTTGACAAACTTACGTGATCCACAATCAAAACTAAAAGATGATAAATGAGGATACATAGCATGTAAAGTTGACATAGATGGATGACCAAAACGACAATGAGACTCATAAGCTAATGACAATTCTTCTGGGCATGTCATTAATCAAGACTATATTTTCTGTATGTCATCAAGCACATAAAGACCTCATACGGTCCTTCCCCTACCAACAGTCTGCTTCATCAATAGATCTTGAAAAACACTAAGTAGGAAAAGAGACACTACAATTCAAATTACTCATAATTTGAGTAACTGAAAGTAAGTTAAAAGGAGAAGAAGGGACATGTAGCATAGAATGTAAAGGTAACGTGGATATAGGTTGAGCCTTGCCACTTCCTACAATATCTATAGAGTTTCCATCAGCAACCAAAATAGATTGTTTCCTTGTCATAGGAGTATATGAACAAAGAGTACCTGTATTACCCGTCATGTGATCCAAAACTCCTGAATCAATCACCTAAGTCCTGGAGGGGGTTGCTAGGCATGCAATAGATTTGCCTTGTATAAAAGTTGTTGTTGGAGAGGAGATCGAAGTCTGATTTGGAAGCATCTGAATAAGCTTGTCATACTAATCTCGGGATAACTGAACTCTCTTCTCTTCTTACTGCTGGGGCTGAAGCACAGCATCAATCACATGCCATTGGTGGGCCAAAATTGCCTTGAAGATGTGGACAAACATTTCGTTAGTGTCCCTGCTTTCCACAATAATAGCAAGACCATGGCTCTTCTCTACCACTTCCAGGTCCTCTACCTTGTCCACCATGTCTTCCACATGGTGCTTGCTTTTTACGCTGTGGGGCCACAAATACTACCCTGTCTTCTTGTGGAGGATCATGCTAGGTGACCTTGTTGAGGCACTTATAAGCATCCAATAAAGAAAGTGGATCTCTATCTGCCAACATTTGAATACTAGCATTGGCACACTTTTTCCTCAATCCTGCTAAGAAAAACACTATAGCTAGAGCTGCTTGTTGCTTCTGGTTTGTCTTCAGATTAGTAGACAAGGGCATGAATTCATTAAACTCGTCATATACCTCAATGAATGTAGCAAAATATTCCCTCAGGCTCTTATCGGATTGCTCCATTCTAGTACATGCCTTGGTAACAACTGAGATCCTTAGCCAATTCTTAGAATTTGCATAAACAATTTTTAAAGCATCCCAAAGTTCTTACTTGTGAAGTATTTGATTGAACATGACCTTGACTCATCGATGGAACTGAGATCCTTAGCCAATTCTCAGAATTTGCATAAACAATTTTTAAAGCATCCCAAAGTTCTTACTTGTGAAGTATTTGATTGAACATGACCTTGACTCATCGTTCCATCGAGTTGAACAATTGTCTAAGCACTCGATTGTCCTTCTGCTCCCACATTGCATACTCAAAGCTTTCCTTTCTTGGCGGTTCACTTGTAAAAAACCGAGCCTTTCCAAGACCTCGCAAGGTCACCAACACAATCTTGCTTCATGACAAGTAGTTGGAGCTATTAAGTTTCTCATCCGACAACTGTGAGCCCGTGATAATCTTAAGTTATCACTTTTGATACGGTTGCTTTTTCCTTGGCTATGGTCACAGAACCTTCTTTCTATAGAATACAACTGGTAATCCTTCAATCGGACAACACAACCCCTAATCAACAACAAGGAACTTTGTCCCTAGTTCTGCAGCCATGTTGTACACCGAGAAGAACTTGTCTCTTTTAATTTATCATTCACGAAAAGGTTCTTTTGCTTTTGTAACTGAAAGAAATATTTGAGTGTAATGTGGTGGGCATTAGTTTGGTCAATGCTTGACCAATCAAAGATTAGATTTATATATTTTTTTTAATTAAGAGAATTTTAAGGGAGAAATAATTGATTAGAATTGAAATGTTTTGGGAATTAATTTTGATTTAGAATGAGACATATGAGATGAATGAGTTTAATGTAAATTTGAAAGGGATATTATATTATAATTTAGATGAAAAAAAATTAAATGATTAATATATTAATTCTATTTTTTTTATTTAGATTTTATTAATGATTTTATTGTTTTGATATTTGTAAGTTGTTAATTTTCTAAACGTGAATATTTTATTATAGTATCAAAAAATTGTAAATAATTTTTTTATATAAATAAAATAACATAGGGTATCATTAATTACTTTAGAAATCATGAAAAAAGAATTTTTATGACTATAATTATAATTACCATGTTTTATAACAAGTTGTGCAAATTTTTAAAAAATTCATGACCATGATAACCACAATGATCGCGATGAGATTCATTATATCTATAACGACGACAAATGCAACAAGACCGAAAATGTGTTCGCAACCGCAATTTAAATCCCTGGCGATAGCTTAGGTGACAACACAAGGGCTATGACAGAGGGGTTTGGGGAAAGAGAGAGTGGGATTGTAGCGGCTAGGGTTGGGCTACTGGCTCTGGTACCATGTTAGGATTAAGGGTTTAGAAAACAACTTACTAATACCTTGGATGAGCCTTTCATTATATAGACAATACTAAAGAAAGAGAATCAATTACAAATTACATATTAATGCTCCCAATTAATCCCTCCTAAACTATCTCCCATGGAATATTCTAATAATATTCCAACTCACACACACTCGTACACTAACAATTAATTGATAAAGATGTTAAAGATGAATTTGTTTAGAATGTCATAATACTAGGATTTTAATGAAGTTGTTTTTTTTTTTCCTTCTCTCTCTATGCTCTTTACAACGTTATGATTTAGTCCTTAAGTAAAGAAATGAAAAAAAAAAAAAAACTAATGCTAAAAAAGTGTCTAAATTAAAAAAAAAAAAAGTAACATGAAAGCCCTTTTTTTGTCATTTTTAACAAAGTTGTTTAAAGACATTTAGGAACTAAATGGAGTAATGGAGAGGTTAGGAATCAAAATGATTGTTACAAGCTTAGAGAAAAATGGTGCTATTTTACCCTCAAATATTGGTCTGAGTATCAAGACTAAATTATTGACTTTTGCTTCTAGAAAAGTAAAAGGAAAAGTTGTAGCCAATTTTTTTTTCCTGGTCTTTTGCTATTAGAAGTGAAAATTATATTAAGCTGGTTTGGTTCCTCTTGACCAATTTTTTGTCCACTACTTTTTGATACATTTCCTCACTATTGTTCATAAATGAGTTGGTCCATAACACCCTCACATCCGAAAAATGATGATGGAGAAAAAAGTAATGGTTGGGGATATGAAGCCATAATAATTAAAAGTTGCAGCAAATGCTTTATAGTTTTTCTTTTTGTCTGTGTTATGGGAAGGAAGAAAAAAAAGATACAACCGTTTCTAATATTATTGCCTTTTTTTATCATTTGTCCTCGAGTCATGTTTCTTGGACTGCTTATTTTTCTCATTCTTATCTGGCATTAAAAGGTAAAAGAACTTCCAATAACTTGATCCATTAAATATTGCTTCCCAACCTATTTTATCACCATTTTGTGGAATTAAACTTGGATTTCAATTTTCAAAAATGGTTTTTTTGGTACATTTGAATGCCTAAAGGATGTAGCCCTTTACCTTCCCATAAACTCTATCCTCCCCTACTCAAGATTCAAACCTAAGACGTCCTGGCTGAAGTGTCATGTTCTAGCCATTAAGGTATCCCTTGAGGACAGTGAAAAAAAATTCTCAGTAGAGGGTATTTTTAAGAAGAATGGATATTCTTATTATAGTCTTTCATATCTATTTTCTAGTTCATATAATAATTGTGGATGCCCAAGTGAGCCCCATAAAAATAAGTGCAATTCAAGTAGCAAACTCTATGTTGGATTGTGTACATTCAGAATTAATTTTTAGAATAATTTTCTTGGTCTTTGTATGTGTATTTCTATTATCTGTGTATATGATATTGGTAATATCATGTATTTGCTTGTATGCCATTATTTCTCTCTATTCCAATGATTCACTTTCTAGATGTAAAAACTTATCAGAATAAGCTGGTATTCTTGATTGCTATATAATACAATTCAAATACACATAAACCATGATGAGTCATGTCTAAAGATAAATATCTGCATATATCTGTGTGATGCATGTGCACATTTGATACTTAAAAGGGCAATTCCTTATTTCTGCAACCTTAAATAATAGTTCTTTATTTTTGCCTAAGTACTTGAGACTTTTAGTTTACCCTTTGACACTTTCTGTCAGATTGTCTGTGTTTTTGACATGGTTAATTTAATGTTATACTGGTGATCTATTGTTCAGTGAAAGCTCATCTTAGTTATATTAGTGCTTCAATGTTTGTGTAACGAAAGCTCTTGTGGTCATTGCTATGATGCGTTTGTCCTTTTTCCTGTCATTGTCTTGGAAGTTGAAGGATATTTTGTTACTTGCAGTTGTGTTTCTGAAGTAATTAGGCATTTATCCATACATATCTTACTTTCTATTTAGGATTTCACTGTTTGTCTGCAGGAAGACAGCGAGAAGACAGGCAAGGTGACATCTGCTGGCATGTATTTCTTACATTTTCAAGTATACAGAATGGATTCCACTGTAAATGCGGTATGTGAGTTGTCATCTCTTGCTTTATTTGTATCTGCTGGGTGTTTGGCTTCTTCTTGTGGTAAGAAGTGCTGGTTTATTCATGTGTAATGCAGTTAGCAATAGCTAAAGATCCTGAATCTGCTTTCTTTAAGAGGTTGGAAGGTCTTCAACCTTGTGAGGTTTCAGAACTAAAAGCTGGCACACATATATTCGCTGTCTATGGTTGGAGCTGTTCGATTTGTCTATTGATTTTGTTAAAAGTATGTTTTGGAGTATTTTGTGTTATTGGTTGACTGGTTTGGATAATATTTCACAGGAGATAATTTTTTCAAGACTGCTACTTATACAATTGAGGCACTTTGTGCAAAGTCATATGAGGATACTACCGAGAAGCTTAAGGATGTTGAAGCTCAGATATTAAGAAAGAGAAATGAGTTGCGCCAATTTGAAACAGAGTACAGAAAAGTATTAATCCTGCTATGTTCTATTTGGCTTGTTATAAGTATGAGTTGTGCTCATTTGATCTTATGATTCTGGTGGGATATTTTTTAGGCATTAGCACGCTTTCAAGAAGTGACCAACCGGTACAGCCAAGAAAAGCAGTCGGTATGTTTACAAAGCCTTGTTTCTTTGTAACTGTTTTTTTTTTTTTTTCAACCTTGCAGTTATACTGCTTTTCCTGCATTTATGCTATCTTTTCAATTTAGCAAGCGGCTGCATCCATGTATGCATAAGGATATGTTTGTCTGTATATATGCACCATTTAATGCCCCTTCTCATACACAGACTCGGGTACTAATTGCTTCTAATTTTTAATAATTGTCTATAGAAAATGCTCCTGAGCTTCTTGATATTGCTAAAAAACGTAATTTCTCATTTGGATTCAATTCATTCTTTTAAGTTTATCATGAACAAAACTGTAACCAGAGTCATTTAAACACAGTGCTGATTTGACTTGGATTATTGGGATCTGCAATACAGGTAGATGAGCTGCTGAAACAGCGCGATACTATCCATGATTCATTCACTGTAACAAAAGCACCCAATAGTATTGGTGTTAATTTAAGTAATGGAAGCACTAGCAAAGTTCCTGGTGAGATTGAGAGCCCATCGGAAGATGGAAACTCAGATGGGAAGGATAAATCAGGGAAAAAGAAATGGTTCAATTTGAATCTGAAGGGATCTGATAAAAAACTTGGTTGAAATGGTATTCAGATAGATTCTTGTTTTACATGAGAGGTTTGAAATGTCCACCTTTGAGTTTGACATATTTGCCAGCACTCTGCTGCCTGCTAAAGCTTGCCTTGTATTGTTTATTCAATTCTTTTCCCCGTCTATGGCTCTCCACCAAGCTTGTTCAGTATTTCATGTTGCAGTAATGGTCCTGTATATACTTATTTGATGAAGTGGGCTCTCCCATCCACTTGTCTGTTTAGCAGCCTCAACATTTGTAGTTCTCATAGTGTAATAGGAAATTCATTTGTCTTATTTTTTTGAATGGAAAATTTTCTTTTCTTCCGACATTGCTGGTGTAACTAAATTTGGTAATGCGTGTACATGTGTTTATTTCATGTAAAATATATGTAAAATATGAAAATTATTATCATAATTTTTATTTATATATTAAATAAAAAAATATATTTTTTAATTTTTGTTATATTCATATATAAATTTTGTTAAAATTTAAATCATATCATTTTCATAAGTTTATCATATTTAAATGTAACTATCTTATGTTTTCGGATCAGTCTGCTAGGGGATTAATGAAGAGATTAATTAAGTTCTGTTGACTGGTGTTTGTTAGTATTTTCTATAAAAGTAAAAATTAAATCACAAAATCAATCAAACGAAATTTTGTTCCAGTGCTCGAAAGCCTTTTACCACCGGTTTTATTACTATCATCAGAAGTTTTGTTTACAGAGGTGATCAAAATATTTATAAGGATGACGATTCTTGTCATGAATAAACAAAATGTTTTATAAATCAAATTACAAATTTTTTGGCCAATAAGAAAACAACTTAAAATAATCTGGCGATAGCATAAACGAAATAATCTAGTTAGACAATTGTGTTATATATTGATAAAATGTTAAATTTTTAATCGTAATAATTAAAATAAATATTAATAATAATAAAAAATTAAAAAAAAAAAAAAGCCTAGTTGACATGTAAATATGCTGGGTCTTAAAAGTAATAATGCATTGAAGTCATTCGCATGGGTTTTTCAAAGCAATTTGTCTTTTTTCATGAGCTTAAAACTTTAATGATCAGTGATTAAAAAAATTAATGATGAGTGAGTAGATATTCATCCATCTCTTTCATGTGTGAAGCACCAATGTTTCAACAATTCAACTACTCTAATTATTACCATTTCCCAAGTTCAGTGTGTTTATGATTTTATCAACTGCAATTATTATCATTTCCTAGGTACAATATGCTTTCTATGAGAGTTGTTTTGGTACTACTATATGATTCTATGGTGAAGATAATTACCCACCATAAAAAATTGGACCTGTTGGGTCTGAAAAAAAAAAAAAAAAAGTAAAAGGTGAAACGTCAAAGATGTGAAGATATTGAGGGTCCACCTATTAGAATGGATTAAATTTTTAATATAATTTTTTCAAAGTGATTTTTTATGGTATTTTTAAAAGTTTTTTTATTTTTAATTATGCTTATAAATTTAAATATGATATGATGATATAATTAAAAAATATATGAAAAAATATAAAAATGACGTGATTTAAAATTTTTAATAAAAATTATGAGTTTAGTAAAATTTAAAAAAATATATTTTAGATTCGAAGCATCACATGAATTTGAGATTATAAATTTTGTTTTACATAAAACATATACAATATAAATATATAAATTATCATATTTACTTTCAATTATATTGAGTACTTCAAAAATGAAAAATTATGTTTTGGCATCGAAAAACAATTGTTAGGGTGCTTTAAATTTTTTTTGCAAAAAAAAAAAATTATAGTTTGAGAATGAAAGAATAATTGCGAGTGTCAAGATTTGAATTTTAAACTTACATGATATCAGTTTTAAAAAATGATTATATGAATCAATTGAGTTAAATTTTGAATTTGAGATATTTTGAATTATTAATAGTACATGTAATTCAAAGGACAAAATTCAGATAAAATTTTTTGAGTGAATTTCGTAAAATTTTTTTAATAAAAATGATTCAATTAAAACTTACATAAAAGTCAAAACCAATAGATTGATATAATTTACAAGAAGATCAATAAAATGTAAAAATATTGAAAATAATATCTATAATTTAAATCTGATCAATACTTTATTCAACAGTGTATATATTTTTTTAAAAATTTTTATTAAAAAAGTTATCTAAAAAATATATTAAAATTAATTAAACTTTTTTCAAAATTTATACAGTTGACATATGTGTCATAACGTATTGATCCGAAGATTCGATTGCTATAAGTAAAGTCAATGAGTCACCATTAACCTTTTTTGTTAACATGTAATTGGCCACTAATCCTATCTCTTGGTCTATAAATTCGAGGTTGGGTTTCGAAGTACGGGTAAGCGTGAAAAAAATTATAACACCCTTACAGCGTTTATCTAAAGATATTACTAATTAATTTTATAAAATCCTAGAATGATCTTATTCAAATATTCTTTTACTTATTACCTTTTTTTTTTTTTATTACTTGAATATTAAAAATTTTCTAAGTTATTTATGATACTTTCGATATAATTTAAAAAATTTTATTACTTTAAGAGTATTCAAAGAAATAAATTATTTCTTTAAAAAAATTTAATCATTGGGTTTATTTTAATATATTTTAAGTAGATTATAATTTCTTTATACAAACGATAATGGTATGATTTTAAAAAAATGAAGAAAATCATCACTTATGACTTCCTTTTAATTTCATTTTCGATGAAAATTTTAATTTACTTTGTAATATTTATTTATTGTTTATTTTATTATTGAGAAAAAAATTTATTGGTTAAATTCTCAAAATATTTTCAACACTTTTGAAATATTATGAGAAAATTGCTTGCTAAAATTTTTTTGATAAAGTCCCATTCATAACTTTTATTCTTGTAAAATTTTACTTACCTTAACAATTTAAATATTTTATTTTTTATTGAAAAGATTTTTAAATTAATTTGACCAACACTTTTTGCAAAATTTTGTAAAATATTTTTAAAAAAATCATTACCTGTGATTTTATTATTATTGTTATTATTCTTTTTTTATGTATTTATTTAATTCTTACTATTTATTTGAAGTGAATATTATTGTTAGTATTTTTATGTTTGAAAAATTATAAAAACATTTTCAACACTTTTAGAATATTTCAAAAAATTCTTTTGTATGAATATTTTCAATAAAATCAACATTTGTGACATTATTATTATTAATAATTTTTTTATACTTGAAAATTCTAAAATATTTCTAATACTTTTAGAATATTTTAGAAAATTTCTTTGTGTGAATATTTTTAATAAAATCACAACTTGTGACATTGTTTTTATTATTTTATTTATTATTTTTTGTCTTTTTTATTTTTTTTTATTCTTGTTCATTAAAATTTTTATTTTCATTATTTCATTTTATTTTTTTATATTATTTAAGGGAAAATTAAATTTTCAAAATTTCCTAAGTTTATTTTTTAGCAATTATTTTAAATTAATTTTAATAAAAAATATATTATATTTTCTACCATTTATTTTATTTTTTATCAAAAGTTTATACAAAAATAAAATAAAATACCACAAAAATAAAAAATAAAATAATAGAAATATATTAAAAATTTGAGTAGAAAAAAATAAAAAAAATCGGATTGAATAAATCAATGGTTAAAGGAGAAGCCAGTGGCGAGTTAGGTTGCACGAACACCGGGTCGCACTTGAAATTATGCGTGGATCCTTTTGGGCAAAACAAAGTCATTTCATTTTTCTTTTTGCTGTATAAAAACCTTAAAAAAAATTTTATTTCATTTTTTCCACTCTTTTTCTACACATTTTCTCTTTCTCATATGTTCATTCTCTCTCTAAAGGAAAACCTAGAAACAGACGACCCTAACCTAGAAATCAATCGATAGACGCCATGACGACTGTTGTTGGCCACCAGTCACCTGTATCATTTTGAACCCAAAATTCAACCACCTATTCTTTTTTATTCCCTTCATTTCCAAACTTTTGTTTTGCCTGAAAATACAAGATTTGCTCTAGATTTAGAGGGAAAGTCATGGCTAAAAACTCTAAAAAGTTTTATCTCCGTCGTACCATTCATTTTTCTTTCCTACTATGTTTTTTTTTTGGTCCTAATCTCCCTTTTCACTAAAAAACCTAAGCCTAAAACCCCAAAAAAACTAAAGCCCTTTTCCTTTTTTACATTTTAATTTTTTTATGTATTTTTTTTCTTTTTCTTTTTGGCATTGTGATCCCCATTCCCATGGGATGTGTTTAATTTTTTTTTTTGGTGTTTTATGAGTTTTGGGATCAATGGGTTTGGATTTTTTTACTTGCAACATTGTGTCTATAAAGGGGTTTGGCTGAGGGTCTCACAATGATGGCTAGTAGTGTAAGGTGGTCTTTGGTAATGGCTTGGGCTAGTAGTTTTGTTAATGCTAAATGGCAATGTAGAGATAGGGTGACGGTAGTGAGCTAAGGTCGGTTGATGTAAATCGAATGATGGTTGTGAGTTGTGCAAGAGCTTGGTGGCTTGTGGTTTGTGATTAAGTATGCTGTGATTTTGGTTCAATTTGTTGTGGTTTGGGTAGTGTTGGTGATTTAGGTATTACTAGTGTTAGGTAATAACATTGAGGGTTGGCTTGAGGCAATGGTGCTTCACGATTTAGAAGTAGCTTTTGAGGTTCAATTTATAGGAGATTGGATTTTTTTTATTTTTTACAATTTGTTTTTTGAATTGAATTCCATTGCCCTTGTGTTTATGATTACAGCTCAATTTAAAGAGTTCATTTCTTTGATCAAATCCTAGATTTTCTAAGACTGAGTAAGACTTTGAGGGATTCGATAGCTAAATTTCTATTGCCAAGTTAGGCAGTGGTAGAATGGGCAATCAAGTAGCAACTACAAAGCTTGAATTCGGTTGTTCTAAATTTTCAAAGCTTTTTGCTTTTTTTTTTAATTTTTTTTAATTTTAAGATTAATTAATATAATAATTGAAAACATGATCAAAATACCTAAATAAGTTTAAAATGAATACATAAAAATCACAAATGCAATTTGAATTTAATTTTGATCAGTCCAAATAAAATTAAATGTCTATAGCTATCCTTTTTTGTACATTACTAAGAATCAATAATAGGGTAAAAACCAAAAGACAACAATTTTGTCAGGACAAGTATATACTCAAATTTTTTTTGTTTAAAAATTTTAATATAAAAACTCTTCTCATTAGAGGCTTGACAAAAATAAATCAAAATAAAAGCATAGGTATCATTATCGAAAAATAACTTTGAATATCACCATTGAAGGAA